TCCCCCACCCAGGGCAGCGTTTCGTAGCCCCATAGGGAGCTCCACCGAAGGCCCCAGTGGGGGTGTTCGCATGCGGTTCCCCCACCCAGGGCAGCGTTTCGTGGCCCCATAGGGAGCTCCACCGAAGGCCCCAGTGGGGGTGTTCGCATGCGGTTCCCCCACCCAGGGCAGCGTTTCGTGGCCCCATAGGGAGCTCCACCGAAGGCCCCAGTGGGGGTGTTCGCATGCGGTTCCCCCACCCAGGGCAGCGTTTCGTAGCCCCATAGGGAGCTCCACCGAAGGCCCCAGTGGGGGTGTTCGCATGCGGTTCCCCCACCCAGGGCAGCGTTTCGTAGCCCCATAGGGAGCTCCACCGAAGGCCCCAGTGGGGGTGTTCGCATGCGGTTCCCCCACCCAGGGCAGCGTTTCGTGGCCCCATAGGGAGCTCCACCGAAGGCCCCAGTGGGGGTGTTCGCATGCGGTTCCCCCACCCAGGGCAGCGTTTCGTGGCCCCATAGGGAGCTCCACCGAAGGCCCCAGTGGGGGTGTTCGCATGCGGTTCCCCCACCCAGGGCAGCGTTTCGTGGCCCCATAGGGAGCTCCACCGAAGGCCCCAGTGGGGGTGTTCGCATGCGGTTCCCCCACCCAGGGCAGCGTTTCGTGGCCCCATAGGGAGCTCCACCGAAGGCCCCAGTGGGGGTGTTCGCATGCGGTTCCCCCACCCAGGGCAGCGTTTCGTGGCCCCATAGGGAGCTCCACCGAAGGCCCCAGTGGGGGTGTTCGCATGCGGTTCCCCCACCCAGGGCAGCGTTTCGTGGCCCCATAGGGAGCTCCACCGAAGGCCCCAGTGGGGGTGTTCGCATGCGGTTCCCCCACCCAGGGCAGCGTTTCGTAGCCCCATAGGGAGCTCCACCGAAGGCCCCAGTGGGGGTGTTCGCATGCGGTTCCCCCACCCAGGGCAGCGTTTCGTGGCCCCATAGGGAGCTCCACCGAAGGCCCCAGTGGGGGTGTTCGCATGCGGTTCCCCCACCCAGGGCAGCGTTTCGTGGCCCCATAGGGAGCTCCACCGAAGGCCCCAGTGGGGGTGTTCGCATGCGGTTCCCCCACCCAGGGCAGCGTTTCGTAGCCCCATAGGGAGCTCCACCGAAGGCCCCAGTGGGGGTGTTCGCATGCGGTTCCCCCACCCAGGGCAGCGTTTCGTGGCCCCATAGGGAGCTCCACCGAAGGCCCCAGTGGGGGTGTTCGCATGCGGTTCCCCCACCCAGGGCAGCGTTTCGTGGCCCCATAGGGAGCTCCACCGAAGGCCCCAGTGGGGGTGTTCGCATGCGGTTCCCCCACCCAGGGCAGCGTTTCGTGGCCCCATAGGGAGCTCCACCGGAGGCCCCAGTGGCTGCTCTCGCATGCGGTTCCCCCACCCAGGGCAGCGCTTCGTGGCCCCATGGGGAGCTCCACCGAAAGCCCCCGTGGCGCAGTTCGCATGCGCTTCCCCCACCCAGGGCAGCGCTTCGTGGCACCATAGGGAGCTCCACCGAAGGCCCCAGTGGCGCAGTTCGCACGCGGTTCCCCCACCCAGGGCAGCGTTTCGTAGCCCCATAGGGAGCTCCACCGAAGGCCCGCCCCGGTGGCGCAGTCCGCATGCGGTTCCCCCATCCAAGGCAGCGCTTCGTGGCCCCATATGGAGCCCCACCGAAAGCGGCACCCACAACGCGTTACCAACAATTGCTTATGGTTGGGTCTTTCGCCAGGATAATTTTGAATTTCCCCCCTGTAGAGGGACAGGCCCGACTTAACAGAAGGATAAAGAGGATGAAGCCCCATTGGGGGGCTGTTCCGCCGGAATGGGCCTCGGATTAAGTCGGATTAAGCGGGATCGAGCGGGATTAAGTCGGACTCAGCGGGATGAAGCGGGACGAAGCTGGATTTCGGACCGGGGCAAACTCAGAACCTGACCTCCCAGGAGCTGCACCCGAAGGCCGTGGGGGGCGCCCCGGGAGCGCCGCAAGGGGCAGAGGCAGAGGCCGCGGGGGGAGGAGAGGACGAGGGGAGGAGGGGAGGACGAGGGGAGGAGGAGGAGGAGGAGGAGGAGGAGGAGGAGGAGGAGGAGGAGGAGGAGGAGGAGGAGGAGGAGGAGGAGGAGGAGGAGGAGGAGGAGGAGGAGGAGGAGGAGGAGAGGGGAGAGGAGGAGGAGGAGGAGGAGGAGGAGGAGGAGGAGGAGGGAGGAGGAGGAGGAGGGAGGAGGAGGAGGGAGGAGGAGGAGGAGGGAGGAGGAGGAGGAGGAGGAGGAGGAGGAGGAGGAGGAGGAGGAGGAGGAGGAGGAGAGAGGAGGCCTCCGCCGCTCCGGCTCGCTCCGCGCGCGGGCCCCCCCCCCGAGCTTTCTGTCGGGCCCGTCCCTCTGCAGGAGGAGTACTCAAAAATAATCAAAGAAATCGTCCGGGGACGATGCTCTGACTATGTTTGCCCATAGGGGGGGGGGGTATTTTTATTCGTTATTCTTCACCCAAAATCCCCCTGTGGGGGGGCACGCCCGACTCAACCCGAGCTCCCTCCGCGGAGCGGCCAGGGGGCAGGATGGAGAGGGCGCGGGCCTGCTCGGCGGGCGGCGGGGGCTCCCCAGGGGCCCCCCCTCCGGCCCTCGGGGCCGCCGCTGGTCCGCGGAGGAGGCTTCACCAGGACCGGGCCCAAAAGTATGCACCACCACCCTTTCCGCCCCTTAAGTCGGGCGTGTCCCCCGTAAGTCGGGGATTTTCGACGAAAGGTAAAAACTACCTCCAAAAGCACCCCCCAAATAAGCAACAACTAATCAACAATTAAGAAAAACACCCGCAAAAATACACCCAACAATACCCCCAAAATACCACCCAAAGGTAAAACATAGTCAAAAATGACACCGGAGAAAAACCCAATCAGATTTTTGTTGGGGCTATGGTGGCTGAAGGGCTATAAGGCTATGAGGTTATGAGGCTATAGGGCTATAGGGCTATAAGGATATAGGGCTATAAGGCTGTCGAGCTATAGGGCTATAGGGCTATGGGGCTATCGGGCTCTAGGGCTCTAGGGCTATAGGGCTATGGGGCTATAAAAATAGGGCTATAGGGCTATTGGGCTATTGGGCTACTGGGCTATTGGGCACCCCGGGCACCCGGGCACCCGGGCCCGGCCACCGAAATCGGCGACCAACCTCACCGGCCACCCGGGCACCCTGGGCACCCTGGGCACCCGGGCACCCGGGCACCAGGGCCCGGCCACCGAAATCGGCCGCACCTCTCACCTAAACCTTTAATCCGCTAGGACCCCTACAGAGGCAAGCTCTGATTGGGGAATAGTCCCTGGACTATTTTTTGACTAGTTGCGGACCTTTTCGGGGGCATGTTTTATTTTTCGTCGAAAATCCCCCTGTAGGGGGACAGGCCCGACATAATCCTCCCCCCATCCCTCTCGCTGGAAAGAGGAGAGAGGAGGAATCGACGTGGTGGGGGTGTATATAACCAGCCTCGAACTTATCCTTATCCCTAAGATTGACACGCCCAAAGGCGATGACAATCTCAGGGATGCACCCCCAGGGACTGAGGGAATCCCTAAGATCGCCATCGTGACGAGGCGATGCCCAACATAGGGATAGGGATAGGTTCAAGGCTGGTACGTATATGCTCTGGGCCCCCGAGAACGCTTCTCAGAAGCCCGGGGCCCTCCGATCCGCAGAGGCGAAGGCCCCCCCCCCTCTGCCTTCTCCCCCGAGCGTGCCGCCGAGCCGCGCGGACTCGAGCGTCTGACAAGCCGTGCTCACCGAATGTCGGGCGCTGAGTGCCCATCCCTTCCTATATGTGATGCTGCCTGCGAGCAGCTGGCGGTTGGTACAGTCATCGAGCTGGGCAGGATGGATGCCATTCTCAGGCGTGCGGAGTGCCTGAATCTCAGTGGTCTTGCGGCATGCAAGCTGACTACAAGCAGCTCGGCCAAACAACTCCCTGCATGACTCTGTGAACTGCCGCTTACTTGCTACCGACGACCGACTGAATGCTGAGTGTGGCTGCCTTCTGGCATCGATCTCTCTCCTACGCGCGCGCGGCGACCAGCCTGGTCCACAAGGTTCACCTTCAGGAGGGGCAACACCAGCATCATGAACAGAACCTGTCAGACGGCCGCTGGCATCAAGAACAGCTCAGAATAGAGTATGAACGCAAACAAGCAAAACTGATTGCGAGCGAGGGGATGATTATCGTTTGCTGCTGCTGCTGCTGCTGCTGCTGCTGCTGCTGCTGCTGCTGCTACTGCTGCTACTGCTGCTACTGCCGCTGCTATTGCTGACGCCACTGCCACCGCGAACGCTACTGATGCCCTGCGAAGAAAAAGGACAACGGCATAAACATAAACTTTCGGAGGTCCACGCGGATTTCTTCGATCTGCGCTGAACGCGGGGCCCAACGCAGATCCGAGAAACCCGCGCGGAGCTCCGACAATCCATGTTTATGCAACCTGTTCTTCGATGTCCAGCAGCGACACCAGGACCGCCAAGTGTAAGACGCGAAACCGTGCTCCAGGAAGAGTGGAGCAGCGCCCTGCCAACCTGCAACACGCCAGCCCCTGCGCGGTACACTTGGCACGGGAGAGAAGGCTGTGACCGCTGTGCACACCCGAAAACCAAACGGACAAAACAGTGCAAATCCAGGACCCAGCGTTGGTTTCTGACACCACGTGGACCGTTCAACCTGGAACGATCGGCGGCTTTTCGATCGCCAGGCAGTTCCATATTGGCCGAATCTGGGCCGCTGGCGGCGTTCAACCTTGAACGCCCGCGGTGGCGTCGCCGCCGCGTGGAAACGACGCGAACCTGCGTCGTAAGTCGCCGCAGTTGGTCAAGCAGAGGCGCTTCGGAAGCACGGCGCATCCAACTAGTAGCAGCAGCAGCAGCAGCAGCAGCAATAAGGAAGGCGAGCAACACGGAAGGCCGCAGAGATACATAGGAGAGACAGGCGACACAAAGACACTGCACGCGGTGCAACACTGAACAGGCGTGCGTGTCCTTGGGACGAGAACAGAACCAGGATATGACGAGCTCTGGGTAAGGTCTGTGAACTCTGGAGTTTCCGACGGGTCTCGGCCATTCGCACTCGGCCATTCGTCTCAGGCCGCGAAGGACACCAAGAACATCTGGAAATCCTGAAACATTCATTATCATAGCGTCTCGCTCCTCTGACGCTTGGCCCACATGGTCAACCGTATTTTACCCAAGAGCCCAGAGGAAGGTGGAGCCGGGAGAAGAAGGAGGGAGTGTACTCCGACATCCGCCGAGTTGATGTTTGTTCAGTCCGCGGCCCCCGAGGTCCCGACCCCTCCCTCGGATGTGGTTCCGCTTCCGAGATCCGGTTTCGATGCCCCCCGGAACCCGACAGCGGCTCGGAGATCCTCGGAGCAGGAAGCCAGAGTCGCCAAGGGCGGGCACGCGCAGAAAGCATCCATGCAGCCACCACCGTGCCAGAACAGAACCGCCCTTGGGACCTGGCATGGCGTACAGTGCGGGCGCGGCCGCAAGAAGCCCTCGCAAGAAACTCAACCCTGAAAACCCGCGCGCGGGGCGCACCCGAGGGGAAGTCTGGAACACCCTGAGCGCAGCAGCTTCCTCCACTGCTGCGGGAAGCCACCGCGACGTGCGCGCGGAGCGAAGAAGCCAGGGAGGAGGGAGGAGGAGGGAGGAGGAGCGAGGAGGAGGGAGGAGGAGGGAGGAGGAGGGAGGAGGGGGGAGGAGGGGGAGGAGGAGGAGGGCAGGGAGGAGGAGGAGGAGTGAGGAGAGGAGGGGGGAGGAGGGAGGAGGGCGCCCCCACTGTGTGCGGCCCCCCCCCTGCCGAGAACACGGGGGCCCCCCTTTGGCACCCTCCCGGTGCCCACAGGACGGCCCTCCTGGCCTTGGGTCCGGCGGGCTGCCTCCTGCGGAGGGCGCTCGCCCAGCCATGGGCGCCGAGGGCCTCGCGGCGCAGACGCCCCGCAGCGCGCGGGGGGGGGCACCCCTGAGATCCGACGATGCAAAAAAAAAATGCAGCCTCGCAGAGAATCGCGGCCGGAGCTCCGGACTCCGTCTTTCTGCGTCACGTCCCCTGCAGGACGCATCTCAAGGTATGAGGTGCGGTTGGATGCGATCGCGACCTGGCGTAGGCGAGAAGCCTATCGTATCTAATCTTCGGCAACGACGACAATGCGCGGCCCCCGCCTGCATGGGAGCGCCGCCGCATCTAGACGCATCTATTGCTCAAGTATATCTGAAACGTTGCAACCGTCTCATTTTTCTGTAAGAAAACATACCTACCCGTATCTAATACTCATAGAATGGCACTGCCGCGCCGTATCTATTCGTATCTAAGGCTGTGCTCTCGGAGCGAACAGGATTTATAATACTGGCCGAATCAATGAGCAATGGGATGGGGATAGTGGGAAGCCATATAGAGTGAGGAGACGAGCGACGACGACAAAGACGACGAGGAGTAGGATGGATAAGATCGGTGAAGCGGGATTCAGGAGGGAACTGGGAAGGAAGAGGGAACCCTAGGAGGGGGAGAGCAAAGCTAAGAGGAGGAGGCGGAGGACGAGGACGAGGAGGATGCGTCACATCGAGAGTGAAGGGGGTGGTGGGGGCAAGGAGAAGAGAAGATGAGCACCGAGGAGGGCGGATGAGAAGGATCCAAAAGGAATGAGGAGCGAGAATGGTCGATCGCGGGCGTGCGCAGCGGACTCGAGGAACGATCGCGATGGCGGTAATGGGGATGACGAGGAGGAGGAGCGTGATGGTGACCATTCTGGGGGAGTGCCGACGAGACTGACGAAATTACCCCAGTGCGGCCCTACCTAGAAGTTGGAGCACCTAGGAAGCACCATTAGTTGCTATGCTATGTTATGCTATGCCATGCTATGCTGCGCTATGCTATGCTATGATATGCTATGATATGCTGCGCTATGCTATGCTATGCTATGCTGTGCTATGATATACTATGCTAAGCTATGCTATGTCATGCTGCGCTGTGCTATGCTGCGCTGTGTTCTGCTATGCTATGGTATGCTATGCTGCGCTGTGCTATGCTGTGCTGTGCTGTGCTGCGCTATGCTATGCTATGCTATGCTATGCTATGCTATGCTATGCTGCGCTACGCTATGCTATGCTGGGCTATGCTATGATATGTGATGCTGCGCTACGTTATGCTACGCTATGCTATGCTTTGCTGTGCTCTGCTATGCTAAAGCTCAGCGAAGCTGAGATGAAGGTAAGCTAAGCTAATATAAAACTGAGGTAAGATGAAGCTAAGCTAAGGTAAGATGAAACAAGTTAAGCTACGATGAGATAAGCAACGCGAAGCTAAAGGAACGTCACTGGGGGAACCGCGGGGCGGATGCCGGGGGAACCGCCCGGGGCGGGTTCCACTGCCCGGCCCTTTAAGCCTTATAGTAAGAACCTTCTAGGCAGAGCCTAGGTAGGGAAATAGGGAGTAAAATACGGGACTCCTAAGGGCGAAATTGGGAGGAATACGGGGGAGGAGGAGGAGGAGGAGGAGGAGGAGGAGGAGAAATGTGAGGACGAATCAGAGGCGTGAGGGGGGATATTGTTCCGCTCAGGGTGCATAAGGATAATGATGTGGAGGCATGGGGAGGAGTGGTTTGGGCGATGAGCGCGGGCGAGGGGGAAGATGAGGGCGCGCGGCGAAGAGGCAAGAAGAGCGAGGTGGATGGGGCAGGAGGGAGCGTCAGGAGGATAACGTGGAGGAGGGGGAATCAGGACGGGGATGAAGTAGAGCAACGTTTGAAGAGAATGGCTCCACTGTTTCGTCCTTCTCGTCACCGTGATCGTTCGGCTTGCCCGCCGTCCCCCCTATCCCATCGGTTCGTCATGATTTCCTCCTCCTCCTCGTTGTCGTCCATGTGGGTTGTTTTCCCTGTTCGTGGTCATTGAGCGGCCTCGGCATGGCAGTGATATAGTGCCGTATCTATTCATATCTGTTTCTGGTAGACATGTTTTCCAGCGATGGGCGCCACATTGAGCCGCATCTAAACATATCTAAACATATCGATTCGTATATGAATGGAAATGACCCCGTATATAAAGTGAGTAATAAAACCTATCTCCCGTATCTAAAAAACAATCGTACCTAAACGTGTCTATTTTTGAAAAGTATATATCCGCATCTATTTCTCATCAGGAGAACGTTGCAACACACAGATGGTTCAGGGAGGAATTTCAGATTGCGGCCCTCCTGCATGCAGCTGCCGCTGAGGACATGAGCAACCAAAATGGGGGCCCGAAATCGAGAGAAAGCGCCGGCTGTTGAAAAACTGCGGCGCCAGGGTCTCAAGGACGGCCGACGCACGGGGGCGCGCCCGGAGCGGGCGGCAGGGGCTGGGCAGTCACGGGCAAGCGCCGAGGTCCACGGGGTCGGCGCCAGCGCATGGGGTCAGCATCGTTGCGTGACTTCTGCGACAGGTGCGCGTCGCGACGGCGCCAGAGTTGGCTTCCGTCGCCGCGTGGGTCGTGGAACCTTTTGAGCGATCACGGCTTCCCGACAGCGCGGGTCGCTCGAGGCTGGCGGCGTTCAACCTTGAACGCCCGCGTCTGGGGGTAACCGCCGCGTCGACACGGCACGAAGCTACCACAGATCCCCCTTCCCAGTGGGCCAGGCTTCCTCAGCGCCACCAGCCGGCCCCCTCGCGGTGGGGGCGGATGCCGCGAAGCCCGACGGAGAGGGCACCGTCGTATCCCCGCCCGGAGGGGGGAGGGCAGGCCGGACAGCGGGGCCGGGGCCTTCCAGACGGGAGTGGAGGATGGGTCTAAGGATGCCGGCGGGGCGCACAGAAGCGCCAACACCTCAGAGGAACGGAAGGGGACGGGAGGACAAGACGCCGACGTCGGCAACAGGACGCCTCGATCAAGCGCTCACCTGCTCCAGCCGGCTGGGCAGGCGCCCAGCACGCCTGCCGAGGCGGCACGATCTCTCGAGGACAGAGCTGGCGGAAGCCTGCGAGCAGCAACACCCCCCCCCCTTACCAATGAAGCAGGGCCCGATGCAGCAGCCACACCCCGAGGGGGGGGCGACCATGTGAGCGCAACGTGGTGGCTGCCAGGCTGCAACTGCACGCAGACCATGGTGGTTATGGACTGGTTCGTCCAAATCTCGCGCTCGGTGTAGCCACGCTGGCCCCACTCCCGATGGTAGAAGACATCGTCACCCAAGAGATGTTGCTGGTTGCACTCGAAATGGTCGATCTTAAGTCACGGATCGGATCTCGCAGGCACTCAGTCTGGTTACGTTCCAGCCTCGCCGTCGGTGGGCTCACAGTGCTGGCGAAAGGCACCCTTCCTTCTGCACTCCTCGCATGTAGCCTTTTTGTTTTCTTTTTTTTGTGAAAGTAACATTGCGGCACCTTGGGAGCTTGACGATTCTCAAGGCCGCGCCCTCCGCCTCCTGCTTCTTGAGCAGGGACCGGCCGTCCCGGCATTCCTGTAGTCCTATCACGAAATGTTCTCAGAACCCACAAATGTTCGAAGAATACAAATGTGTGCTTAGAACATAAGCCCGATGCGTTAAACCACGACAGGCTCCGCCAGAAATGTTCCAAGAACATTCCGTGGGAACCACAAAAGGTTCTTAGAACATTGCTTGGTAGGGCTATAGGCGAGCCAAGACGCTTCGCCACTGCTTGATGCCTCCCCTCACTGTATCACGCGAGGTTCCCGTACACCGGCCTGGCCGATGAGCGGCTGCGGCTGGCCGACGAAGGGCCGGCCGTCCAGGGGCGCACCCGCCGCGGCAGTCAGCTTGCAGCAGCACTCGACCTCGACGCTGGTGGCGGCGTCGAGCTCGCGCGCTTCCTGCGCGACGACACGCTGAGTGCAGATCGCGTACATGAGGCAGTCCACGACGACGCTCGGCGCCCCCTCCTCGCTCCCGCCGAGCACTACCCGCAGCTTGCGGCGGTAATGCTGGAAGACGGCGCCAACGATGAGCGACGGGATCAGGTCGAGGTCGAGGATCTATTGGCTCCCTCTGATCACGTGCTCTGGGTCGACATCATCCAAGCCCATCGCTTTCAAGACTAAAGCTTCAACGACGCCGCCGATAATGCGTGCGACGATGAAGATGCCGATCACGGTCCAGTACGGCTCGATGCCAGCCGCCTGGTAGGTATCCCCGGCGCGGCAACATGCGCAGAAGCACGCGTGCAGGCAGATGGGGTAATCGTCGAAGCAACTGACATGGCCAGTCGCGAAGTCGCCCGCGGGGGGCTGCGCTGCTCCATCCTGCAGGGGCGGCCTCTCTTCGGCCACGCCGAAAAAGATTCCCTGCAAGACCGGCGCAACCAGCAGCAGCCCCCGGAGGTGGACAAACCTCCCTTTAGTGAACCTCCCTTTAGCGAAAACGACCTAGGACCGAAACCGACGGACCTGGACCCGCAAAAATAACGGCCGCGACGCCCTCTCGCGAACCGAAAACGGCCAACTCCTTCATCGACGTGTCAGGGCAGGAGGTCTGCCCACCCCCAGCAGCCCTCCCGGCGCTTCGTTGCCGTTGGAGTCCGAGCCGCGCTCGCCGTTCCTGGACGCCTCCCGCTCCTCCTCAAGCTCCTCCAGCTCTCGGGAGCGGCCAAGAGGGGGGTGTCCAAGTGTCCAAGAGGGGGGGGTGCAAATCATGACCGGCGGCATGTGCGCGGCCCAGCGGGGGGGCCAGGGACGTAATGAAGTAAGAAGAGGCGCCATGAGATCTGGGGAAATATCATGGCCACCGCCATGATATCCAATCCCCCCCTAGTCATCACCCCCCTCTTTTCCGCCCCCGAAGCTCCAGCTCCGGCGCCGCAGAGGTCGCCGCCAGCTGGTCCCCTGCCAGCCGCCGCGGCCTCTGCGCCGCCAGCGCCCCGCCGTGGGGTGCCCGCGCCGGCACCCGTCTGGCGCTCGAGCCTGGCGGCCACGGCGCCACCGGGCCGAGGCTCACCAGTGCCAGGGGCACCAGCCGCAAAAAAAACACAAGACCAACAAAAACGGCAGGCGTGCAACAAGACCACAAGAGCAACAAAAAGACCAACAAGACAAAAGACCACAAGAGCAAAGATCACCAAAAAGAACAAAAGACAAAAAGCATAAACAAAAGACCACAAGAGCAACAAAAAGACCAACAAGACAAACTGTTGCCAGATCGGCTCGTCTGCTGTCAGGGCATTGCCTCGCGGTTTGCGCTTCGTACCTGCCGCGGCAGCTCGGCCCATGCCACAGTGCCGATCGGCGGCGGAGAAGCCTGGCAATGGGCATCTGCACAGCAGCAAGGCCTGCCCGGCGGACCATGGTCCGTCTGGCTTCCCGTGGCGCGGAGAAAGGGAGAAGGGGGAGGAACGGCAGCAAACGGGAAGCGAGGAAACCTGCACAAACGGAGCCACCACATGGCGCTGGTTTCCGCCACTGCTTAGGAGAAAGCTGCTCTAACAATGCCGCGCGCACACGGGATGATACGAATGTCCCCAGCTCGTATCGGTGAAACCGGGAGCGGCGAGGAGGAGGAGAAGGAGGGCGACTGCACAAAAGCCCCGCTGGAATATGGCTGCGAGGAGTTATGTCCGGCCGGTTCGGAGGGAGGGGGGGGGGGGGGGGGCAAAGGTCTCATCAGGCCCCGCGAGGCCCCAGAGGGCTCCAAGCAGCCCCCACGACGGCCCAAAGGCCCCCGAGACGCCCAAAGGTCGGCCCAAGACGCCCAGGATGGCCCCAAGACGGCCCCAGAAGCCTCCCAGACGGCCCAGGAAGCCTTCAAGAGCATTCCCAAGAGGGGCCCCAGAGGCCAAAATCGTCGAAATCCAATGGGGAAGCGTACATTTATCATGCACGACTTTTCGGCCTTCACGGCGTTGAAGACGGCCCCAGAGTCCCCCAAGACCGCCCCAAAACGGCCCAAAAAGCTCCCAAGAGGCGCTCTAACGGCCAAGGAGGGCGCCAAGACGGCCCAAGAGGCTCCCAAGACGTCCCAAAAGTGCCCCAAGACGGCCCAAAGAGGGGCCCCAGAGGGGGAACCTGAACCAACAATCCGAGCCTTCCGCCCCAAAACGGCCCCAGGGGGGCCCAAGAGGCGCCCAACAGGGCCCATGAGGTCCCCAAAAGGCTCCCCGAGAGGCCCCAAGAGGCCCCCAAAAAGGCTCCCCAAGAGGCCTCTAAGAGGCCCCCAGGAAGCTCAAAAGAAGCCCCAAATATCACTTGAGGCATGTAACTTCTAACCCGCAACCCAGGCACCAAGGATCTCAAGCCGACAACCAAGGCACGGTGGCGGGATGGGCCGAATGCCAATATCCGCCGCCCCCTGTTGATTCATCACAGGGGTGCCTGGCGTGCTGAACTTCTTACGATTTTGGTTTTGGTTTTTGTTCCAAACCGGCGCGTCCCGCCGGGGTCCCAGGAGGATGCCGAAAGATCTTCCAGAGGTGGTTGCAAAGGGTTTTTCCGTTCCAGACGGCTCCAAGATGGCCCAAGATGGCCTCCAAGACGCCTCCAAGACGGCCAAGATGGCCTC